GTTTTTGGTATTTTGCTTTGTATTCTGTTGTAAAGCTGCTTTAGTTATTCTTTAAAAGTCATTAATTTTATTTTCAGCACTTAAACTTGTATAAAATATTGTCTGTAAAATCAAAAATGTATTAATTTGGTAACTGCCCCATAGCCAGGAAAGCCAGGAAGAATCGTTATCTTGATGCTAACACAGTTTGACTCACTGACTAATTGAATTAATTATATGTAGTACAATTAGGTAGACTTTTCGGCAGGTGTATTGTTGCTCAGGAGTAAACCCCAAATGACCCAGTGGGGAATCAACAACCAATAAAATATCCAAATTTTTTGGTCGATTAATTTTGCCCTTGATTGTCATTGTTTGGATGATCATTGTCTTTGAGCTTTAAGTCGGAGTAATTGTATTGTTAAAGAAGTCGCAACAAAAGACACTGATACTTAAACATTTCTATGCAATTTCTACATCACTGCGAAATCATTACTCCAATTATCGTCACACTACCGATGACCCAATTCAACCGCTTACGCTGAATATCTCCAAATACGCAGATGACTGACTCCTTTATTCGGTAAAAAAAAAAAGAATAGGGGAATTAAAGGTGAAAGTCACGTGTGTAGAAAAATGTGTCGCACTATCTGAAAGACGTACTTTTGACTAAATCCTTTACACATAGAAGCCACGACTTGATGACCAGCTGTGATCTCATGTTACAAATTGCAAATCTAAAATGGCCGACATAATGCTTGCTCCACGGTTGCACCACAACATGGTGTATTCCCGCTGTAAAGACAGCCACACTGCACTTACTGGATCATCCAACACACATGCACACACACACACACACTCTGTGACAGTGTTACATGATGCTACATGGTAAAGTCATTGTTTGTGCCTGCTGCTACGATCTGCTTTCCCCAATTTGACTAAGCTTCGTTGAGGTGTGGATGGTTATTCTGACTGACCTATCATGATGCTCAGCTGCTGATTTGTGATGACAGCTCTCAAGAGCATTGGCTGTGTATACAGAAAGGACAATTGGGTGAATGCCTCCCCCAGATGTGCCAAGAGCTGCTCATTTACCAGTTAGAAAAGACAAAACATAACCTTAGGACTGATTTTACCTTCCATTTGATTTAATGTTTGTGGCAACCATCATCGTTGATGTTATAACATCAATGTTACAAACTTTAGGGTTCTCAGTGATGTAGAATGGATATCATTTGAACAAATTAAAACATTTGGATGGAACAGGCAGATATACCATGAAATTATTAAACAGGTACATTTGAAGCTGTATGCAAACAAGTAAAATGAATGCTAATTATCCAGTTCTTAAGCAATTGAAATATATTGCAGAATTTCGGTCAATAATTAAAATAATTATTAAATTAATATAATTCAAACGCATTCCCACTTCCCCACACCTTTGAAAAAACAATCAAACAACAACAACAAAAAAAAGAAACGCCACAAGCTTTCTCGTAACCACCATCAGGTTTTCTATTGTGTCCACCCCCTAGCGGCAGCACACTTTGGGAATCTCTGATAATATTCAATATGATATTACAGATGTTCTAAAAAAATTTATATAAATGTATGTGATTCCTAAATTGTCATAACTTTGATCAATTTCTGCCTGCCAATAAAACCTTTTAGCAAAATGGATAAAACGGCCTGAATTCAGTCAACAGTTGTGGGAATGTACCTTTAAAGATAAAGTAAATTCCATCAAATTAGGTTGTGCACAGTGACATACAGTTAATCTTATCCAAAGAAGTGGCGCACTTTCATCCACTGCATTGTTTATGCCAAGAAGCACTTCTTCCTTTCAAGTAAAACCCCTCAGACACCTCCACCACACACACATATGCCGTTTCCTTATTATTTGTTTCCTTATCATCTGTGACATCTGGTATTGGAAATTCTTTCCATAGAATAATTTAAACTGAAGTCTCTGAAGTGTGTTCACACATTTTTGCGTGTTTAAATGAATGTGCGTAGTGTGTGTGGATTGGATGGAGGGCCATTGGGAGACTCACGACTCACAGCTATAAACAAAGGTGGATCATGGCTCACTGTGTTGTAATAGCTTTTGCAAGAAAAATGTCAGTAGTTTTGAAAAGCCCGTTAACCTCAATGCAAATGTCCAACTCCAAACAAAAACTGCTATCATATCCAGTTTATAACATTGTGTAACAGTTCAGCCAGTCAGAAGAAACGGGATGTGCTTCACTTTCAAGCTCCTCAGCACCATTACATTAGAAACTACCATGATGTTTAGATTGACCACAAGAGAGTCTAGAGACCACCTCAGGAAAAATATTGTTGCATAACATAGTCCACTGTGGCATCAGAAAACGCTGTGTTACAGATAAAAAAGAAGCATTAGGTATATGTTGTTTAGCAAATCTATCAATATATCAGAAAAGTCTGACAAAATCTATGATGGACTGTTGATCAGGCTTCAAGCCAGTAAAAAGGGGCAAAAAGCTACAATTGCAGAATTGTATGAGATTTGTTTTCCAAATTGAAATGATTAAAACGCTTTTTATTATATATATAACATACAAATATATACAATTAAAAATGATAACAATCCCTGTGACTCAGTGGTGATATGCTGCCATCAGTGGCTATGACATTCCAAGTTGACAAAGATGTTTTTTAAACCATATATTTATGAAACATATGCTAACCCTGTGTTTCTGGACGTGGGTTGGCTTCTTTTCCAATCATTTACAGACCGGTGGCTGTGCATGAAATCATCATCCCATCATCCTGTCACTGCAAGCAGCAATGGGGGGGGGGGGGCGAACACCTTATTACAATGTTCTTCAAGAGTGATGCTCAATTCTTGGAAAAGTCAGCAAATGGGGGCGGAGGGGGCATTTTGTGCACAACATTGTCCAGTAGAGCGTGAAGCGTGATTAATTCAATAGTGGCCATGAGAGAGAAAGAGGAGGAGGAGGAGGTGAAAGAGATGGAGGATTGCACAGTGTGACCCACTTTTGCCATCAGATGTCATAAAAATCCCCTGCCTTTCCTCACTGCATTTGCCTTGCTCTTCATGTCTCCATCAGAAAAGTCAAAATGTGGACATTTGCAAAATCAGTGCAAGAGCACAAGTGAAAGTGAGCAGCTATAGGTCTGCACAAAGTAGAGATTTAAGAGGAACAAGTCTGTTCTATAATAAAGCTTCTTAGAATATGAATAGGTAAAATTGTTTTTAACTAAAATCAAAAGAGGTAGACTTCCAAAAGACCTGCCTTTTTAACTGAAGGTTGGAGCCTAATGCAAATAATTCACCAGGACTAGACCAAATTATGTTTATCTGAAGCAATATCTGTGGATACAACTATTATAAATGCTGTTTTACTTGTAGACCTGGTAAATGTTGTGCGATTTTTAGTGTAGATAAAAGAATCTATGCAACTTCACCAGAGATCATCAGCATCAGCCTCAATCTCTCCCTCACTGTCCCTGCACCACTGCATGGGATTAAACCTGGATTAAGGCTTTTATGTAATCTGGTCTCCTCTGGCGGATTGGGGAGACAGCTGGGAGTAAAGTCCTATCCTCATCAGTTGAACCACTGCTGGCCTGTGACAAACATTTAAGTGATGTAGATTAGAGAAACCATTTTAAAAAAAATGTTTATAGCTTAATTTTAGCTTTCTTTATCCCCAAAAAACATTCTCAAAAAGATTTTGAACATGTTTTAATAAAACCCCATCTTTCCATAAGAAGAATTTTTGCATAAGAATTGCAAAAAATAATATGTTTTTATTGTTTTGAGATTAGCAGTACATTTCCAATATCTTAGATTTTGCAAGAAGTTTGAGCCCTGATTTAAGACAAGTATTGTTTTCCTCAAAAAGAGGTAATTTCTGTCAGAAAAAAAACTATTTTGAAAAAAATCATATGTATTTTTTTAGAATTAAAACATATTTCTGTAAGATAAGTAATGATCCCCTCTTTCAAAATAAAAAAGTTCTCATTTTTTATCATTTCTAATTAAATATAATTAATATATAAGATCCAATTCATTTAGGATAACTTAAGGTAATGATTTTTTTATGTAATTTTCTTCCTAAATATACATGGTTTAGGATTTCTTTCTTTGTCACTAACAGAATCATTTTTAAGTCATCAAATTTTGTTTCTAGATATGAGCAGAATAATATGAATAATATAAGGTAACTATCACATTTTTTTTAATAACAAACTTATCATTAACTTTTCTTCCAATTCATGTTCAACGACAGTCTTTACTTTATGGGACAACATATAAAACTGTACAATGACACCATTATCAGTCACAACTCTCTTTGAAAAGTTTCAAATATATCAAATATTTCTTCCACTAAAATCAAAATGGACAAACAACCCAACCTTTGGAGAAGCTTTCCAAATGTTCTGAAAGCATTTAATGTGTTTGTTACCTAATGTATCCTCAGATATGTTTTTTCCAAATGCTTTCCTCCCACATTCCTCCCACACAAACCTTCTGCCAAAGATTTGGATCCACTCGCTCTACGGCCAACACTGACACTGTTTTGTAGCAATATCTGATCATTTAAATAAATGCTTCAGCAACATTAATATCTAAGTCAAAAGTAAATGTTAACATTAAACAGCTCTAAGTTTAAACAGGCTTCAAGGTTTAATTTTCAATCTGCTCTGGAATTTAACCTCATCATCACCTCAAGGACAGAGGCAAAAATGTGGTTAGAAATATTATACATACATATTTTCACTGGTGAAATTTGACATTCATTCTTGATACTTTCTATTTGAATATATATTTTTGTTTTTCAGTAGAAATGTATTTTATTTGTGGTGTGATTATTACTGCTCTGTTGATCCCAGGTCTGATCACACCTAAAATAAATGTACAAAACTATATGTAATGCGTTATAATAAATCATCCGTAAGCGCTTATAGCGGGTTAAAAAAATACTTTTACATCATCACAGTTGTGGAAACAGACCCAGGTGGCAGCGCCCTCCTGTGTTCCTTCTGAGCTAAATCACCTGGTTTTAGGTATACCACAGAAAAAGGGCTTGGTAGAAATAAATACATCAGCTCTAACTGCAGCAACACACTGTACTTTGACCTACATTTCATTGGCTCTTAATGCTAAGTATTTGTGTCCTGCAGCCAAATGGAGATGGTTCCTTTCAAAGGCTGCCCATTACATCTAACAGTATTGTGTTTAATCATTATGATAGTAATTATTTTCATTGTGTTCCTTTGACCCTGGAGCAAAACTAAGCAGCTGCTCTAAAGTTAACCCTTTCCTTTCTTCAGCTTCAAACGTTAGGTCTTTTTTTTACCCATGGTTGTTGTGTGGTCAGTGAACAGGGTTAATTACAGAACTTCACTTAAAACATAATCACAGCCTGAAATAATTTTTTTTTATCCACTAGCATGATGTATTTTTTTTAAATGTATCTATTTAATTTTGCTTTATCTAACAGATTAACGGTGGACTGACTATCACGTTCACACTTGCACAAATCCTGAGCTCCTCTCACAGACTATAACAACACATATTCATTCACATCATTTTTGAACATGGAGTCCATGAAGGTCCAGTCAGAGGGTGGACTGAATGTGACCCTCACCATCAGGCTGCTGATGCATGGAAAGGTAACAAATAACCACACAAATGGAAAAACAAAAACAAATCTAAAATGACACACAACTTGCTGCAATAGGCAAAAACAAAGTTCCCAAAAATATGTTGTTTTTTTGTTTTTTGTTTTTTTTTGTGTAGGAGGTTGGAAGCATCATAGGAAAGGTAACTATCAAAAAATACACCCCGGACTTATGATTATATGATTATGATTATAGCCAGGAAGAAATCCTAATCCTAAAGTATCCTAATATTCTTTTGTTGCCACAGAAAGGGGAAACGGTGAAGAAAATGCGTGAAGATGTAAGTTTCTATCAAAATTTAACTGCAGTATAACCTTTATCCCTAATTCTTACTTATAACTGTGTATTGTTTTGTCCCACAGAGCAGTGCTCGCATAAATATCTCTGAGGGTAACTGCCCTGAACGGATAGTCACCATCACTGGACCCACAGATGCTATTTTCAAGGCTTTTGCTATGATCGCATACAAGTTTGAGGAGGTAAATATATATGTGTATTTCTTTAATGCGCAGCCCACATAATCTTGAAAGTATTTCAATTTGTATTTTACTTTACTTTCACTTACATTTTAATTATCGTATGGCCCATCCCATGGCAGCCTGTCAGTTGCAAAGACCCACACTGTGAATTTGCCCATTGTGAGACGAATAAGGGAATGCATTATTATTATTATTATTATTATTTTACTACTACTACTAACAATAATACTATATAATAATTATACTATATTTTCTGCAAAAAAGGCCTCAGATACGACAATGAAAAGAACAAAAATGATTTTTTTTTTAAATTATAAACACATTTTTTCCTCTTACTTTCAGGATATCATAAATTCTATGAGCAACAGTCCAGCCACCAGCAAACCTCCTGTGACTCTGAGGCTGGTCGTCCCTGCCAGTCAGTGTGGTTCACTGATTGGCAAAGGAGGCTCAAAAATTAAAGAAATGAGAGAGGTAAGGTATACGCAAGACTTTCAGTCTTTGTCTATAGTAAGTAATGAAATACTTTCTGAATGCTTCCTCCTTACCTCCAGTCCACAGGCGCACAAGTTCAGGTTGCAGGTGACATGCTACCTAACTCCACAGAGAGAGCAGTGACCATCTCGGGGGCCCCTGAAGCCATCATCCAGTGTGTCAAACAGATTTGTGTGGTGATGCTGGAGGTATGCTTTTGGGAGAAGAGGTGAAAAGGGGAATCAAAAAGACAGTACTGAAAAATATTGTATTTTTAACAGGAAAAATATAGTTGATTTAATGGAACAATATGATTACAAATATTCCTGAGCTCAGATAACTCCTAGTTTTGTAGAGGGCTGTATTGGGGTTAAAACACTGTGTTTAAAAAAGTTTAGTAAAAAACTGAAATCTGTGAGATCCTTTGGCTTTCAGTTTAAAAGACAGCTGCTACGGGCAAAACTCTGACTGCAAATTAAATTTACCCTTAAAATCAATACTCTGCTACAGTACTTCTGCCTTGTAAAAATCTTCTTTCTTCAAGGTTTTGTCAGGGAATAATTACTATTCACTATGGGTAAAGCTTTGGCTTAAATGTCTTCACATATTATCCTTTTGTAACTCTTTTCAATGCACTAATTATGTTAATTATCTGCTCAGCCAGTTCTCCATTGGGCCTTCATGATGGCACCAACCAATGATGCTAGGAGATGTGTGGCATGAGTGTAAGTCGTAAAAATGCGGATGCTAATAATTAAATCCAGGTGATAGGGTCATCATTCTCCAGTTGAAAGCAATGTTTACAGGTGGATCTAAGTTAATTTGGACGTTGTATGTCAGCATGGACACACGGTGAAGAGCACTTTTAAGTTTCACAGGCTGTCTTTCCCGAAGCACTGCCCCGTCTGGATTCACTTTTCTTTTCTTCTTTCTCTTTTTATGTATTCCTTAATTTGGCTCTAACACTTTCTCCACGTCTCACTCCTTCTTCTGTTCCCCCACTTTCTCCCACTTTACTCTCCTCAGTCCCCACCGAAAGGTGCCACAATCCCCTACCGCCCCAAGCCTGCCGCCAACCCTATCATTTTTTCAGGTGGCCAGGTAAGAGCAGACCCACTGGGGGCGTCCACGGCCAACCTCAGCCTCTTACTGCAGCACCAGCCACTGCCTGTTAGTGTCTCACCAGGTTTTACTCACTCTTCCTCCCCCTTCCTCACTCCCCAAGACTCCTATTCCTGGCTAGCATGAACCCTTCACTGCAGTTTCCAATGGGCCCCTTTACTGTCATCCATCAGCTGCTGGCAGCAGAACTGGGATAAGTGGCAAACCTTTGCACCCTCACTTGTCATACTATATTTGAGTCTGCATTTGTCCTTCCTCTATAAAATGACTCCAGGAAGGATGGGGAGTGAGTAGGAATACAGCAGAGGCAGCAGAGGTGCTTTTAAAGACCCATATGAGTCCTGTAGATCATTGTATCAGATCAAACTCCAAAAAAGAAGAGGTGAAGTCACCTCCAATTGTGACTTTGCTCACAAATGACAAATGAATTGACAGAAACCCTAAGTGACAACAATCTTCTTATATACAGCAAGTCCAAACAACTCTCACTTAACATGTTTAGTAGCCTAGCCTGTTAGAAGTCCTTTAGTGGTTTGCTAACTGTATACTTGAGATGTCAGTTACTTTAATCAAAAACATTGGTGTCTCTACATTCAAGTGATTGCAAGCAAAACATGCACTAGGTTATTTGTCTCAGACAGCACCTCCTTCCTCTGCTCACGTCACAACATTTAACTCACTTCTGACTGCTGTGGCATTAAACAAGCAAACGCCCAGTCAGGTTAAGCCACATTATTCCTCTTAACACAACTCCTTTACTCCACACCCTCCCAGTCACCTCCTCCTATTATTATTTAGTTCAACTGGGTATGATTGATGTTCAGAAAGCATAAATTAGGCCTTATGATTTGTCATTTTGCTGTCTTGTGTTGATAACCCTCATCTCTTCTCCTCAAAATTACAGGCTTACACTATTCAAGGACAGTATGCCATCCCTCATCCAGATGTGAGTGCTCAACACGAGAAGCAATTTTCACAATTCTTCTTCACCTGGTTTATTTGAATATTTCTCCAAATTACAGGCTTCTCCTGCTTTTAACACAATTATTTAGAAAAGCAGAACTAAAACAGTTAGTTACAGTAGAGTTCAATCTTTGGCTTTTGCAGTATGTTAACACTCACCAGCTACTTTAATGGATACTTGCTTTAGTTCTTTTTGTTCAATCCCCTCTTGCTTTCACAAAATCACTAATAAAGAGATCTTTATGAAAATCTTAACAAAATGCTAGAATTCCTCCTCGGAGATCGCTCTTTAGTCCATGCTAAAATGATAGCCTTGTGTTTGCTGCACATCTATCAGGTGAATCTCCCATTCAGCCATTTCCCAAATGTATAAATGATTTCTGGAGAAAAGTGACGTCAAGGATGTATTGTCGTTTAAGAAACCAATTGGAATGATTTGAACTGTGTCACCGTTCGTTATCATTTTGGAAGTAACCATCAGATGATGGGTACACCAAGGTCATACGGGATGGAATTGGTTGACAACATATAGAATTGAGGTTTAAGGTGTAAGTTAACCCTACTGCAGCACGGTGAGAGATGCTGAATAAAATTTGAGTGGCAGGAAGTGCATTTGACTACATTAATTTACATTTTCCAATGCAATAGCAAGCAGTTGAAGGTGAAGTAGCTGGTGAGTTGGAGTAAGCTTTGTAAGGATGTTGTTAAAATGGTCCTTTCCAATTGGTTTTATCTGCCTTTAGGAATCATACCAGAACCCTGTTTTAGAACAACACCTTTGTTCTCTTGTTTTCTCTTAAACTTTGTCTTCATCCTTTATTGCTCTGTGATGTCACCTTCCTCAGATCCTGTCTTTACTTTTGTAGAATTATGAACAGACCTGTGTGAATGTGTTTGTCTGCCTATATATGTGTGTGTGTGCGCGTGTGTGTTTTTTACGATGACCTCATAGCTCTGCTGTCGTCCTCCTTCCCCCCCTCAGCAGTTGAGCAAGCTCCACCAGTTGGCTATGCAGCAAACCCCTTTTACCCCCCTTGGACAGACCACCCCTGCCTTCCCTGGTACGTACCCACCTACACAACTACCCTTCTTCTACCAAAGCTCCTTCTCTCGTTTTACCTGTAGACACACACATTCTCTTCCTCCTTTTTCTTTTTCTTTCTTACTTCAACTCTCCTCATCCTAATGGTCTCTCTGTGGAGCTCTGCCATTGACATGGCCCGCTGGTGGTTTGCTCTGGTTGATGTTGAGGTTTCTTTTTGTTTCTTGGGTTCTCTGTTAGCGTCCTAATTTTTTTGTAAATAGTTTAAATGTGCTTATTTTCTATTGAAAGATTACTTAAATAGTGAGTGGAGTGTATGAAGATCATTGCTAAATGCCACATCCATAGAGTGTGGAGTTGGTCACTCTTCACCACCTTTAAATGTCCAATACTATTTTGCTATTTCAGCAGCAGGTCTGGATGCCAGTAACCAGGCCAGTACTCATGAACTCACCATTCCCAATGATGTGAGTATAAAATGGAGGAAAATTTGCCAAAATCAACAAACGCTAAAACACAATATTGTAACTGTATTAAGTCACCTGAATGATCAGTCGGTCAACAACCATTCGTGCAGTGGTGATTTAAGTGTTAAATGTTTTTTGGCCATCCTAAGTCCAGCTCCTATTTCCTTTCCAGCTAATAGGCTGCATAATTGGACGCCAGGGAACCAAAATCAACGAGATCCGTCAGATGTCTGGGGCACAGATCAAAATTGCTAACGCCATGGAAGGGTCATCAGAGCGCCAGATTACCATCACAGGGACACCCGCCAACATTAGCCTGGCCCAGTACCTGATCAATGCAAGGTCTGACATTTGACCCAGACACAGCAATATGTATTATTAGCCAATAATTTAATATTATTACAGTATTTTTAACATTATATTCATAATATTTAGCTTTATATTCCTATGCTAGACCTTAAAAATTAGTAATCCAGAGCAATTTAGCAGCAATTTAGCAGCAAACCTAGCAAACCTGTGTGACAAATTGTCGCCTGTTTGACGCCCCTCTAGGTTCAGAGACGTGGCGGCAATGTGGAATGACCCATCCTCCATGACAACATCCTGAGATCCCTGACTGGCTCATAGATTTGGCCCCTTTCTAATCACTGAATACCACTGATGCAACCCTTCAGACTCTGGCTTTGGCTCTCGGAAACAACTGAACACTTTCCTGTCCTGATTAAACTCGGCGGTTTGGTGCTCACTTCTCATTTCTGAAAGCCAAACAA